CAAGGTGATGGGGAGCAATGTCTTGTTTTCAACGAGTGTAGACTTCAACCTTTCAGACGCGTCGGGAGCTCGTTCTCGCATTATTTACCATTTACCATTTACCTACCTCCTCTATCTTTGAAGTTTCCTCCACACTCGTTGAAAACAAGACATTGCTCCCCATCACCTTGCTTAGACGTCCTCCCGCTATCCTCTTTTCTAGAGCTCTTTCAAACACCCTTTGCTCTGGTTATTTCCTCCACAATGCTTCGTCGACCGCCCACCACGCTGTCGCTCACGGCCGAGGACATAGCCGCATACGAAGACAGAAGGTATGAGCAACTACAAGCCCAGGCTCAAGCCCATGCGCAGCTGCAACCCAGGTCACAACCAGCACATGCCCTTATGAGCCGACACCCACGCACCCGTCTCTCTGCAATGGACACAACGACCTCGTCGCCGAATGACAGCACGGACGAAGCTATGGAGGACGTCGCGGCTCCCGCAGCCGATCTTGACGACGATGACGACGAGGAAGAACAGGAGGACGGAGAAGAAGACGATGACGATGATGACGATCCATTTAGTACACGCGGTGATCTCCGTGCCGCTGGAGGAACAGGGCGACCCATGTCTCCCGGCGCCAGACGTAGCGCCTACCTTAGCCAGATGCGCGCTCGAGGTGGCAGACACGGGCGCTCACAATCACATACGCACACTACTTCTATCCCAACATCAACCTCCACCTACACATCGGCGGCACCTTCGCGCGCTCAGCGCATTATGGGCTCCGCATCGGCGTCTGCGCTGCCTTCTGCGCCCACCTCGGGCCAGAGTTCGCAGGTACCCGCGCACCTACAACAGACGCCCGTACAAAATACGGCACCAGGTGGCACCACGACAACCCGGGCTGGGGCTGGGCGCGCCGGACGACAAGCCAGCGAGCCACCTCCCGCGCCTACACGTGTGACGCGCAGTCGGGACGAGCGGATCGGAATAGCCCCCGGGCCACGACCGGCAGACACGGGGCCAGGAGGTGCTGCAGGACCGACTATGAGACGGCGATAGAGTCGCTGGCACTCAAATGTCGCAGCACACGGCTATGGAGATGAGGCGTATATACAGATGCAAGGCCTTGCGCAGGCAGCGACACCAGCAGCGGCAGCCACTCAGCCACAAGCACAAACAGAAACTAGCTCACTAACAGCAACAACAACAACACCGTCGTCGCCGGAAGATATTCTAATGCACCTTGACGGACACGCCAAGGAGGAAGACATGCTCTGGGACCACGACTACGTCTACACAGCGGACTTGCAAGTCGAGGAAGCACATCCCTGGGACGAAGCCGACATCGAAGCAGGCTCACCCGCGTCCTCGCACCAGCGCCGGCGGATGCGCGCACACACAATGCGTCTGAGAGGGAACGCGGGGATGTACACTCCCGCTCACGTGCGCGGCTCCTCAGACACGACGAGCACCTCGACGCTCGGAAGAACAGAGCCTCGGATCACAGGCTTCACCAGTATCAACGCGCCGCGAGCTCTGTACGGCGAACACGTGGAAGCTAGAAGGGGAGATGGCCATAATTTCATGCGAATTGACTGAATAGAGGGGACTTGACTGTTCTTACGTTTACTCCCTTTCTTTCTTTCTTTCTTTCTCTCGAATGGGCTCTTTATTCATGGCTGGTTTGCGGTTTCCGCGGATCTCTCTATTCTTTGCTTAGGACTGCAAAACTCGATTAAGCAAATTATCATCAGATCTGCACAAGATGAAACAAGCAAATTTTGAGTTCTCGATGGGAGGACAGTCGAGCTAGTATGGAAAAAGACAGTCATAGCTTCTTCATGTCGGTAGGGGAAGAAGATATGAGAGCGCAACCAGCTAGATATGACTTTGGGAGAGACAAGGAAAAAGAGATCTATCCTAAATGGATTTGGTCAGGGGATTTGTGGTTGTGTACTGTTTGTTCTACGAATAGGAAAAGCATGTTGAGCTGAGTAAGGGCTGCATAGGAAAACCTTGATAGAAGTACACCTTGTAAGACCTTCTATGAGTAAATAGTAACTGAGTGAGGTTTTACCATCGCGTAATAAATAATTCCTCAGCCCATTGACGGCTTGCGCTCAACTTACACACTGCACCGTACAGATCACGTCCGCAACATGAATAGTGCACGGCTAGAAACAAAAACAAGGCCAAGTAAAGCAGATTCGCAAATCACTGATTGGCTCGATCAGAAGTATAACAATTATTTTTCTGTGTGCAAGAAGCCTCCTCTCATTCCAGTATCAAAGGAGATCTAATTGTGGTGGTCAATTTCCTGATTTCGTTTCATTTCTTTCCTCTCCCGTCCTTTCCTGGCTAACCTGGCACGGTCCGAACGCTAGAAACAAATAACTTCCTTCCCCCGCTGTCTTGCCTGAATCGGGCTCTTCTGAAAATGGTCTCCAAACCCTCGTGGCTCAGGAGCTAGACAAAGTTCCATTCGCTTGATCTCGTGTATACACAGCAAAATTCACATTATTTTTTTTTTCCCTGACGTAATAACCCCTGAACGCCACTGCTATGCTTAAAAAAGAAAAGGGGGTGAAGGGGACTAGGGGTTGATTGATTTTCTTCGGTGCGGAAATGCAGCGCATTATTTTATGTAGTACGAGAAATAAAAAATCGAGTCCGTGCCTCACATGGTCTCTCCATCTCGTGCTGTAGGGATTTGATGTCTATTATTGAGGTGGCTTGACCTTGATTTTGAATTTGGGTAAGGGCTTGGGAGCAGGAGGTGATGCTGAGGAAGATGCCTTGGAGGGCGTAGATTGTGGGTTTGGCGCCATGGATGGGAGTGGCTTTCGTACCATATCTGGTAGAGGTTTCCTTGGTTTGCCACCGCTACTGTCTAATTTAGAATTCGGCGGGGCGTTCTTCGATGTTGGAGTCGAGGATCTCTGTCGTGATTGCGGTGGGGGGGTCGCCTTGGGAGTTCTATTCGCGATTGCCGGGCTTGCGCGCGGGTTACCAGACAACGTTGAATGATCAGAAGTGGGCGCAGATTTCTTTTCTGGTGCTGGCTTTTTGCCAGCGGCCCGAATGGTGACAGATGCTGGAGATTCTTTGCCCGTGGAGCCTTTGCCTGAATGGAGCCGGTCCCAGGCTGTAAACTTAAGTGTGACTATTTTGTTGGGTGGCTGTAGCTTCTTCATAGCATCAAGAATCTTAGAAGTATTAAGTTTTACAATCTTTGAAGGGCGACCACTTTCGCTCTCTGTGCTAGCACGCTTCAGCTGCTTGGGAGGTTTTATAGTGAGGCTGCCGTTTCCACTGAGCTTCGGGGTGTGTAGCTTCGGTTCCGGTTGTGCCGGCTCAATAGTTGGTCGAATAGGAGGGATAACAGAGATACTGTCTCGACGCTGCTCTCCATTCTTGACAATCTTCTCTTGTGAAGGCAGTTGCTTAAGCATGGCCTTAACTGGGGGCTTGGTGGTAGGTTTCGCAATAGGTTTTGTTGGCAACTTGGTAGAAGGTTTGGTTGCAACAGGAGTCTCGCTAGGCGTAGATTGTTTTGCCACCTTTACGACAGGCGTTGATGGCGCGGCGGGTGCCTTTGGCACTGTAACACTTATGGACTTCTTCGGCTGGGAAGGCACAGCAGCGGCAACAGGAATGGTGGGCAGAGTTGGAGCCGGACTTGAAGCAGACGTTGGCTGAGACTGGGCCGGTGTGGAGACAACAGGCTTGCCGTTGCTGATGCTAGGTGTTCGATTATTGAGGTTCAGGGTGATCGTTCGTTTTGGCTCAGGTCGTACTGGTGGTGGTGGTGGTGCCTGAGTGGCATAGGTGCCCCTTGACTTTGTTCTATATCTCTTGTGGAACTTCACGACATATTTTCTGTCACGAATCCTCTCACCACGCGTAGCAGACCACACCTCTGGATACTTGAACTTCACTGTTAGAGCAGGGTCGTCGTCAACTAACAGCGAGCAGATCTCTAGGATATTGATCCGTTCTGCGACAGTTAAGACGGGGGAGTCCAATGCGCTCCAGATAGCCTCCTGCAGATCCTCGTTATCATCGGTTTGTTCCTTCAAAGCTGCAAGAGCGGCCTGAAGATTTGTCTTTCGTGCTTTAGCCTTTTGTCGGTCTTCATTTTCCTGTTCAACCACTAAATCTAGCCCTTCCTTAACAGGCTGCGGCGTCTGCTTGTTGGCATCAGGGGTCTCCCCGGTTGCGATACTCGCAAGGCCGCGACATAGTACCTGGAACAGCTGATCCCGGACAAATGGCGAAGGATCGGTACTGATGAGTGAAAAGAAGTATCGCAAGAATTCCGAATTGTTCAGGAGACCAAGTTCAACCAATGAATCGCACGCTTTAACCCGGACGGCGTCGTAGGTCCTATCTTGTAGATATTGAACGAATATAAGCGGATCAGAGGGGATGACGTTCGCCTTCATGAGACAACACAAAGCGTCTAGAGCTGCCACAGTAAAGCAATTCTGGAACGATGGAGCATACTCATCTCTTCGACGATATCGCTCAATCTCTTCAAGCGCCAAGTCCCTGAACTCTTCAGGTTCTGTGTCTATTGGCTCGGCCATAATCTCGTCTTCATTTTCTCCGTCCCCAAAAGAGAGTGACATGGCCATCTGGGGCTTTGCTTTCCTTTCATCTGGAACTTGACAGAAAGCTACAGCTCTGATGAGTTTGCAGATGTAAAACTGATCCGAGACAACATTCTCTGAGTTGTTGTTGGCTTGAAGTAGTCCAAGGATGAACCTCCGAGCTTCTTTTGGACATTTCCCGTCTTCTCCACGAATGTTTGCCATAGCTTCGGGAATCGCGCACTGAATCATGTATTGGCGTTTGTCCGAGAAATTGTTTGGCCGAGGGGTAGTTGAATCCGGGTAGCAGAAAAAGCGCTGAAAGGCTTTCTGGAGGTGTTTTAGCCCAATCCAATCCACCGGGTCCTGAACTGCGTGACGCGGTAACTCCTCAGCAGCCATCAGGCGGATGCCATAGAAATATCTTGGGTCGAGGAGTGTTCGAGCAAGTATAGTGGAAACGAGGGGATGAGCTCCTGACTTGGCAAAAGACTGTTTTAGAAAGAGCATTGAATCTTGCTGAGCAGCCACGTCCCTATCCTGTTGCAGCTGAGAAGCGTACATATATGCTGGAAGATTCGTCTTCATTTCACAAATCCATTCGAAGTCTGCATCCATACGGATCCATTCATAGGATTCTTGGTCCATCTTGGCTTCCGTTTCTTCATCCCAATCCCTAAACCCCCACTCTTCAACATCGTCTGGATGTTGCATAATATCGCCCAGATAGTATAGTTCCTTTTGGCCTTCTTCCTTTGCATTATTATTGGCAAGGGCCCTCTCACGCTGGCGGCGGTTTCTCTTCAGTCGCTTGTATTTAGTGTTATAGGGTATCTCGAATCTCACAGACCGGGCGCCGTCTTCTCGAATTTCAACTATATGCTCATAAGGCGTGCCATCAGCTTCATGGATTCTGATAGTCATAGGGCCTGTGAACGCTTGCTGTAGTTCTCCGGCGTAGACGGCATGCGTATCCTCCCGAACATCTCGCCAAAAATCATTCTTGTCGATTGGCCTTTCCTTTGCTGCAGCAATGTCCTGAGTCTGTCGAACCGTCATTTCGACGCACAATTTTTTCTTGTTAAATCGTTGGAAGACATCAAACCTAGGGCAACCAGCTCCGATGACCCATTGGTTCCAGAAGCTTTCCAGCCGTGTGCTACCGACTTTCTCACAAGCTTTGCGGAATGAGTCGGACGGGAGCACATCATCATTGGCTTGCGTGGAAGTATTTGCCTTGCTGACCATTCGTGATATTATTCGGGAGATGCCTGCGGACCCCGACGATTTGGACAGCCGACGATCTAGAATGAACAATACCAAGGGTGCTTTAAGATTCATGAAGTCGACCTCAAAGCTGCCAAGGTACAAGTGTTCCCCCATATCCTGCAGAGATGGCCTTTTCACGTCAATCTCAACAAGGCGGTCTGCCATCGTCTTCATGCGGAACCTGAAAGTGTTGTTACCACACAGGGCTTTCATGAAATAGTCGGTCATGTACCACGCAATGCCCACTACTAGCCATATATCGGCCTTTGTATTGGGGACTATGTTAACCCCAAACCATTGGCTTGCAAGGGAATACACTAGCGTTCTTGTTGTCTCAATCTCGGTGTCGATGATATCTGAGGGATAGAGGAGCCTATTGCTGCACAAGGAGAATGCGCACAGGGGTATTGCATCCTCAATCATATCGTCTATAAAACAGACCTTGTAGTTCTCAAATGGGTAGCGACCGAAATGAAGAACGAAATGGTCTACAGCCGTAACTAAGGCGGCGCACGTATTCCTAACCTCTTCTGCGCGGCCTGGCAAACAATACCCGTGAACTTTTGCTGCGCTAACTCCAAGCTTCGTATCATCTTCTTCGCTTCTGAATTCCGACCACAGGTCGACATGCTCGAAAGGACCAATAGCAAAACCAATGTGTTTTGCGGCTTTGTTATTGTCGACTTCAAACGTCATGGTTTTTTTCGTTTCGTCATTCTTATCGATTACCTCGCCAGTCAAGAACCCAGAGCATACGACAGTCATCTCAAGTTGTTTGTCTTCTTCTGTGAGGCCATAGTCACGTTTCACAGGCTCTTCCTCGCCAAACTTTCTTTTTCGGCTTCCAGCCACAGTGGTAGCGCTCTTGGGGCGCTGCTGGGTAACCAACGACTGGTCAAAGGCGTCGCCAAGGGTTCGTGGGCAGGTGATAGATATCTTCCAAGGATTGCGGCAGCCAGGGTCGTCGATGCATGGGAATATCGAACACGCAGTTCCGGGCTCGACAGAGTGGCGGGTATATACATGAGGGTAGCGCATATCGCCTTCGTCAACGCCAACGAAGTGCAGGCCATTGTGAACATTCTTCAGTTCAAAAGGAATGCTAATTCGATATCCTTGGACGTTGCCATCGGCATGGATAAGCAACTCCTGCTGGTCAGCTTTTGGCGCGTCGCGGTTCTTCTTTTTGACATCGTCGGCGCTGGGTAGCGTGACACGAAGAGCGCCATCTAGAGGTTGGCAGCATGCCAAATCATGAGCCATCACGGGCACCTCCTTCCGGCGGTGATGGAGGAGCGGCTCCATACGACGTTTCCTCACGGGCCATTGCGGCGCCGACCAGCGATAGGCATCTGGGGTGGCTAACTTGTCGCATGGGTCTTGGTAGGAAGCTCGCGCAGGGCAGTTGGAGACGGTGATGTTTTTGACGTCTATCTCACATTGGCGGGCATCGATGCACACCTCAGTGACATCAGGCTCGATGGGAACGACGAGAATGTGCGAGCGGCCACGGACACGCTTTTCTCGGAAATCGATCTCGAGCTCGACATGCTGTTTGAAGACAACGTAGGGACGTGGTGGGGTGTCGTCGATAGGCAGCTCGACGGGCGCAGGCTCGGGTTCTTCAAGCAGCTCTGGCTCCACGACGCCAGGCATTTCGCGCGATAGTATTAGGTCCTCGTGACCATGGGCGGTAGCAAGTGCTGGTAAGTTAGGCAGGGCTCGTTGGTGTTGTTGCGTGTAATAGATATGATTAAAAGGCAGCTGCGTAGCGAAGCGAGTGAAAATATGGGTGAAGATGTTGTGGTGGTGAGGCTGCGGAGGTGGCTTTGAAGATCACAAACCTCAACATGCAGGGAAAGCTTAAGGGTACTACTGGGGTACTACTGGGATGGGACCGCGACTGCTACTCGTCATTACCGGTGTAACCACTAGCCAGTGGTGGACGGATGCACGCTTGCAGTGTACTATAGTACCCAGGTAGGTAGAAAGCTCCCTAGACTAACTCGCCCAGCGCTCAGGTACGTACCTAGAGGTAGGTACCTAAGTGGCTTATTGAATAACTCGACCAGCGACGGCTGTAGCCAGAAACGAAGGTGTAGATGGTACCTAAGGTTGGTAGCCAAGGCCCTAACCAAGCCCGCTATTCTTATATGCCCTTGCTTCCCTTTGCACCCCCCACAGTACCTATGCCTACCGTACTTTGCCAAGTGTGGGGGAGATTTCATGTTATATAATCGAGATTCGAGGTGAATCCACCCTCAGAGACTCTGAGCTTACTTACTTCTGTCTGTATTTAGCAGTAAACACACTCTCGACCAGGTTCTTTAAGATATCTAGATGTTTCTATATACAGTAGTTATATAGTATAAAGCTTGAGAGTGAATCCAACCAGTTCTACGCGCACGTACATACGATATGGTACGTAAGACAACAACTTACCTAGACAGTAAGTACTCCGTAGGTGGTTGCCACGCTTCGAAGGGATATATGGCTGCCTACCAGCCGATCATCAGGAAAATCAGATGTACTTCATGTCTCACCTTACTAAAGTACCGGTAACTAAGTTGTGTAAAAGGCAGCATGGCCAATTTTTCCCCAGAAAAAGCAAAATCCTTAAAACCAATCGCAGGCATGTCTCAGTCCAAGGAATTACTTGATCAGGCAGGGCTGAATAGATCCTTCCCGTCCTACGGTCTGTTGAGGATAGGTAAAGAGGAGCGGATGTGGAAAGGTCTCACTAGGTTAGAATATTCCGTTTCTACTGCCTCACAACCCACCAGATACACGTTGATGTCGCACGGCATGTCTAACTTGAGAAGCTTGAAAGACAAAATAGAAGACAGTGGAATTTGACACCTAATTAACCAGTAAGCAAAATCAGCAGAAGGCAACAAATCCCACTATCTTGGGAGGCTTCAATTATTGTTTGCGTCTTGTACGCACATCGTACTGTCACACCTAGTTGTACATCATGTTACAGTTGGTCAGTACATAGCAATCACGACCCCTTCCTCTAATCTCAAGGCTGATGATAAGCAAAGGCCATAGCATTTAGAGCTATGCGTTTACTGTAGTACCATCCTGCCTGCGCTGGCGTCTATCCCGCCTCTTCTGCCTCTCGTGTGCTTTCAGGGTATCTTCATCCAGGCAGAAATCAGGCAGTACGAAATCATCCTCACTCATATCAGGGATCGGCTGGCCCCAAGCGAGAACAGTCCTGCCCTTCCGCCGCCCTTTATTAAGCGCCGCGTCCCTTTGGTGCTTCTTTTCGAAGAAGGAAGTGAACTCTCGGGGCGTAAGGTCGATTATAGCAGGTGGGGGCTCGCCACGATTCCTTCGAGGAGAAGATGACGCTGCATACCTAGCACGTTCCATGGCTTCGTTTTGAAGCTGGCGCGCGGCAGCATCGACATCGCTGTACTCGGGAAGCTCACCTTCAGGAGCAAGATCACCTTCGCTAGCATCTTCGACGTCTACCATGTCAACGTCGTCCATACTGCCGGATTCCCCGCTGCTGTCACCTTCACTTTCACTTTCACTTTCACTACTTTGCTGTTGGTCCTCATCTTCCTCGTCGGCTGTCTCCTCTGCTAGTGCGCGTTCCCGTTCGAGCTTTCGTCTCTTTTCCTCTTGACTCCATAAGCGGAATTTATCGAGTATAGCCTGACACCCTTTAATGAAATGATCACGAGCAGGCTCGAAAGTTTTTTTGCGGCTTTCAGTTACTCCATTGACACCCATGGTTCTCAGCCAATCGTGGCCCTGGAGTTCGCCAAGCAGTCGAATGATCTGATCCTTCTCATGCTGGGCACGGCCTCTTTCTGTGTTTCTGATAGACTTTTCTAATCTCTCAGCCCTCCTATGCGCCGGTGCATAATGTGAATCCGGCAAAGGGTCTTCTAATACATTGGCGCTGTCTTCTGCTTTCAAGAAGTCCAAGTTGATGATTGGGGAATTTTGCAAATCAGTAAACAGACGATCGTTGTACACTCGCACCATGGAAAAATGAGGCCGTTGGTCGAAGGGATCTAGAGTTTGATTAGGGGCGGCGGTAGTCGCCGTAGAATCCAATGGCTCGTCTTCCCTATCATAGACAATGATAGGTGTATCAGTATTGAGCAAGTCTATATCAAAAGGGCAAGGTAATTAGCATGGAGACATTACAAAATAGCCAAATGATTTGTGATGTACAGATCAATGCGCCACTAGAGGGTAGATAGAAGCAATGCTATATCAACACAGTGTTCCAACGTACGTTGTTCCTTGGGATCATTCCCAATCACCTCGTCATATTCGGGGAAATAAGCCGAGAGTTCACTCTTGAAGCGGGTCGCCTCCTGAGAGCGCAGCTTGCGACCGGACGGGCCAGTGGCAGAGCTAGTGTCGGCAGCACTCGGTTGCAAACGGCCCAATTCGTGCCGGATGCCATTGATAACCTTCTCTTGGTGTCTCGTGAGGCCATGGTCCTTGTTTGTCGGCGCCGTCGTCGTTATTGTGGAAGGGGGAGGAGCCGTGGTGGGAGCAGGCGTAGGTGTGGGCGTAGGAGCGGAAGTGGGTGAAGGCACAGGTGGGAGGAGGGGATTGGTGGCGATCGGAGAGGGTCTGTCGGGTTTCTGGGACGACGCGATTTGCACGGGCTGGGTGGTGGAACGCTGACGGTTCACTAGGATGGGCTTAGAAGGGCCGAGTGCTTGAGCCAGCGGTCTCGCGAAAATCTCCACGGCAATACGTGTCCTCTTGGCTTTGAGAGGGTCGCTCAGGTTGTCAATGGGATCAAGTGGGCGCTTCATACGAGCAGCAGTCGGCCACGGGGGCAGGCGTTGGTGCGGTTGTTGTTGTTCTTCCTGCTGCTGTGCCAGGTGAGCGTGTTTCGGGTTCAGATGTAGGCGCTGGAAGGCTTCGGATGGTCGCGAGAAAGTGATGGCCATCGGACGTAGCTCTCGATGTGGTCGTTTTCTGATGCGAGACAGGATGCTTATTTGCTATTCATAATTTTTTTCGCCGTGCTGCATTAATGATTGAATTCGCAGTCTCTTCACCTCCTTTCGAGACCAATTGACCTGTAAATTGGGGATGCTAGCTAGACTCCCCACCTAGCGAGCCGGACTCTCCCAATAGGTAGCGGTACTGGGCTCCTACCGCTAACAAATCTAGCTATGCAACCTACCTAACTCTTTGTGACTCACAGTAGGTGGGTGCCTATAACCTTGCCATTACAGGTGCTATGGACTTTCCAAGGGTGTAAGATCTTAGGTACTTAAGGGAGGTACCGGTAGGTAAGTACTCCTTCCTCCTCCCTCACTGCCTGAGTATTCCAATTCTTAAAGGCTTATTACACCTGGGTGATACCTTAGGCACACTTGGTGAAACAACAGGAGAATAGATATCTGTGGCCTCTTATCACATAAAAACAATCGCAATTCCCTCCAATCTGGGCGTTTTGGTAGGTACGCTGAAAGCACTATCTCACGGCATACCAACCAACTGCGCACAGCGTTCATAGCTCGGTAGGTATTGCCTATACCTCCTCAGTGGTAACGCCTACAGCACTAGGCGCATCGTGTTAGTTGTCAATTTGGTGTCCTATGCGGACAGGTTAGGTGGTAGGTACCTTGTTTAGGGGTTAGTAGTAGACGATAGTAGGTAGCAAACTCCAAGGTTTGGTTAAATTGGCTTCATGCGGCTCAGGGGTTACATCCGTGAGACAACTTGATTATTGTAGGGGACAGCAAGGGTACAGAAATGGCAAGGTATGAAGATAGCAGTTGTTATATTAGACTATCTTTCCTCCGTACTGTATGAGTGGGGAGGGGTATAACTATTTATAGTATAGTTCATCATTCCTCACATTGGTCGTAACTACTTAAACTACTCCGGGGTATACGATAAAAGCGTCCCCACTCTTTTTAATATAAGCTATTATATAGGTCTAATTTTTTCTTTAATTTTTATAAGCCTAGCAAATAATATCCTTTTCCTCCTTAATAATTTAATAAATTAACTTTTAAATAATATGCTTATATTATTAGTTAAAAGTTTGGATTACCTTTTATTGCTTAATAAATAGCTATAGTTTTATAAGGTTCCTAATTTTTTAATTATAAGCTTTTATTTAATTTTAAATAGCTATTATAGTTTTATTTATTAAAGTATCCAATTTCTTAAAATAAATAGTAATATTAAAGGAGGTAATAAAGTATATTAGTTAAATAATAATATTATTAAATAAAGTAATAAATAGCAATGGTTAAATAATGGTATTATTAAGGGGAGCAATAGGTAAAGGTAGTTAAATAATAGATATATTATTAAATAAAGCAATAGGTAAAGCTTTAATAAAGCTAATTAAAGGGTCCAATATATAATATTTATACTTTAGGTATAAATTAAACATTTTTAATTATTTCTTAATATATTCCTTATAATATATATATTTATATAATAATTTAATAAAATTACCTATTTAAAAAAGATTCTTTTAATAATTAAAATAGAGTATATCTTTTATACTTTTAAACTTCTTAATATTAAAGGTTATATAAGGTAAAGCATTAATATTAAATTAAATAATTCCTTTAATATTTAAGGAAAACTTTTTTTTTTATATAATTATAGTTATTTTAAACTTTTTTTACTTTTAATTTACTTTAACTTCTTTATTTTTTTACTTTTTTTATTATTTAAAGCTATAAAACTTTAAGCTATACATTTTTTAATTTAATTATATATTTTAAGCTATAGGTAATAATATAATTCTTTAAGTATTAAATAGTATTAATAGTATAAGGATTAAATAAATATTTAATAATCCTTAATATATAAAGGTATTAAAGTATAATCTTCCTTTACTTTAATTATATATAATTATAATAATATATTATTAATTAAAATAAATGGTATAAAAGGTAAAGGTATTAAATATTATTAATATACTTTAATTAATATAGATGATTTTTAAGGTTTATTTATTAAAAGTTAGAGATTTACTTTATAGGGTAATATTATATAAATAAAAAGGTATAATATATTAAGCTAAAGGATTAGGTTAAGCTTTATATTTAAATAATTGTTTACTTTTTTATTAAAAAAAGGGTGGAGTAATAATAAGGTACTAAATAATATTAAGTAAAAAGGAGGATGTAATATTAATAACGATAGGTTATATAATATTAGGCTAAAATAAAGGTATAATATTAATAATAAAGTATTATATAATATTAAGCTAAAAAGAAAATATAGTATTAATAATAAGGTATTATATAATATTAAGTTAAAATAAGTATATATATTTAATAATATATTGCTATTTATTTTAAAGGGTTATTTATTATATATTAACTTCTTTAATTAATTAATTTAGTTATTCCTAATTAGCTTTAATACTTTATTATTTATAAAAGGCATTAATATTATAAATAAATTTAATATTTCTAAGGGCTTATATAGTTTTTATAATAGATTATATATATAATTACTTATTTAAACTTTAAAACTTAAAGTATATATTAATATTAAGGAAAATTGCTATTTATATTCCCTATATATTATAAAGCAAAATATAACCTATAATTAGTTAATTTTCCTATATAAGATTAAAAAGGTTTAATATTAGCTTTTTAAATAGATTATTATTATAGATATAGAACTAATTATCCATTATAATATTTATATAAGCTATAATAACTATTATAATATAGCTATAAAAAGCATTCCTATTTTTTTTAATATTATAAAATACCTTAAAAACATAGGTAATAAACCTATAAAGCATAGGTATTTCTTTTATAGGAACCCATACGTTAAAATAAATATATACTTTTAAGTAGATATAATAATAAACCTATAGGTAATAAAAGTATATTAACCTTTTAAAGGTAATAAATAAGTATAAGGATTTTATATAAAGCTTATTTAAATAAGCTTTAAAGTAAGCTTATATATATAGGTTAAACTTTATAAAAATAAAAGCTAATATTATATTATATAAGTACTATTTATTATTAGCTTTATTATATTATAAATATATGTTAATATTAATATTAAATAATAATTAATTAAAAAGAAAGAAGAAGAGCTATTTATTTTAAGTATAGGTAAATAAAGCATTAAACTTGGTTTACGTTTACTTTTATAAAATATTTTAATTTAAAGGATTTTACTTAAAGTAATAAAGTTTTTTCTTAATATAAGTTATAATATTAAAGCAATAATATATTATATAAAGAACTATATAATAAAGCTTATTTAATATATTTAATATAATATATAAATATAAATTCTTACCTATAAAGTTACTATTAATAGGGGTAATATAATAACATATAGCCTTTATTAAACCATTTAAAAGGGTATAGATTTATAATAATTAATAGCTAATAGTATTAAATCTTATAATTATTATATTACTTTAAATGTTAAGTTTTATAATTAAATATTATATATAAAGATATAATTAAAAATTAATAATATATAGCATAATAGGAAAGGGGGGGAATCTTTTCGATTAAAGAATAGGGGTTTTTCTTAATAAAGGTAATAGTATAGTTAATGATTAAAAGGCGGGTAAAGCGTTAGAAGAATAAGTAAAGGTAATTAATAAAATATAAAGGTATAAAGGTATTAATAATTAAAATTAAAGCTTTTAATAAATAGTATTAAAGCTAATTTAAATAAATTAATAATATTTAAATTTAAATATATAAATGGAAAAAGAAGAGGAAATTAAGTATAAATTAAATAGGAAAATATAAATAGCCTTTAATATAAGTAATTATTTATACCTTTAATAAACCGGTAAAATTAAGCAATAAATATAAAATATATACCAATTTATAATAGGAATAGGATAATATATTATAATTATATATAAAAGGAAGGTATAGAGTTATTTTAACCTAAGTAGCCCTTAATATACCTTTACTTTTTTTAAATAGTTTAATACTGTTAAAGATAGCTATTTCTTTTATAATAAATATATATAGGAATTTCCTTTTTTTAAGGTATAAATATATTTATTAACCTTTTATGAACTTTTAAAGTTCCTTTCCTTTTTAGGTTCCTTTATTAATAATATATATTATTATAGCCTTTTTTCCATTTCTTCTTTATATATTATATTTTTCTTTTATATTAAAGTATTCCTATAATTCTTTATATTTTATATTTCTTATATTAAAGTACTCCTATAATCCTTTATATCCTATATCTTTTATATTAAAATATTCCTATAGTTTTTTATATTTTATATATTAATGCATTATTTTTTTAATTTCGAAGTTTTTAATATAAAAAAAGGGTAAAGTCCTTTATAATCCTTAAATAGCTTATTTTAAATATAAATAGCTTTAATAAGTCCAGGTAATATTAATAAACTATTTTAAATTTATTTAAGTTTTTTAATATAAAGGAGTAATGCTTAATTTATAATTTAGCTATAAAGGGGCCCCTTTATTTAAAGTTAAGTTTTACCTATTTCCCCTTTTATAATAATATTATATAATCCTTAAGCTATATTAATATTCCTTTATAATTATAAATAGCTTACCTTTATACTTTTATAGTTTTATAATAAAAATAAATAATTTTTAAATAATATTAAATTTAAAATATATAATTAAATATAAGTTTAATATAAGTATCTTTATTTAAGGTAATATCTTTTTATATAATTAAGCTTATAAATACTTTAAAATTAAACGAAAGGTAGGTAGCTTTAAGTTCTCCCCTTAAAAGGTATTTATATAATATTTTAAAGGGTAAAAAATTTAAATTATTAATGTAATAAGAATTAACGCTTCTTATTACTAACATTACTTATTAATCTTAATCCTTAAAAGAGCTATTATAAAAGGTATATATTTTATTAAATATTAATTATATAATTTAATTAAATATTTTTATTAATTTTATATTCTAATAGGACTTTAATAAAGTATTTAAAGTTTAAACTTTCCTTTCCCTTATCTTTTTATAAAAGTCCTTATTATAAAATATATTATTAAGGTTAAAATAAATAATTAATAAGGTTATACTGTTTTTATTTTCCTATTTTAATATTATAAAAAGGGT